TGTATAGCACCAGTTGAGCAGAAACATTTTACACATATACACAATCAAATGAAGTAAGCATAAATTACATGTAAATGAAAAGAATATTTACTCCATCTACAACTTTCTTGAAAATGTGTTCACGTTGTTGAACAGTCACAGAAAGCTGAGTACTCTTCACTTAGTTGGCTTTCAAAAACGAAATTGATTGGTTAGCTCATTTCCAACACTTTCTTTTTCACACTTGTAACATTCTCTAATGCACACCCATCAATAGAAGTGGAGTCATGAAAACTAAGCAGTTTACACAGGTTGTATTCACATCTTAAACTAAAGTTTATAGTCCGATGTTTTGAAGAATTAAGCATAAGACCCTTCATGGAGGACCATTGTCTAACAGTAGATAGGAAATCATTCAGTTGGGAACAGTCTATTGAGGACGAGACACTGTTAAAGAGACTGTTAGGGCATCAGCATATATGATGAAATTGATACTAGCTGAAGATGGCAAGTCATGCAGAAAGAAAGAGAAGAGATGGGGGGGCTACACCAGTCACGGTAAAGCAATGAAGTGGATGGCTTCCCTTTATGGAGAGTACATTGTTTTCCTTCAGAGAAATAGGATTACCCAAGACACAGCACGTGTCCCGGCTAGCTTGTCCAGACAAAGAGGACTTGAGATAGAATCAAATGCCTAAGTAGAGTCTAAAAATGCACACCTGATACTTGTAATTTATTGTTGTTGTACTGGATGGAATTGACCGACCTCTGATAAAATGTACTCCTACGGGGATGCCTTGATATTGCCTGATTATTCACCTTGTTGTAACTTGCCTGATGGTGACTAACGGTGAAATCAGGGACACTCGTTTCGTGCCACTTGGGGCTCGTCAGCTGGATGTACATGCACCCCATTGAGTGATGGTGTTCCCAGTACATATCACTTCAAACGCCAAAGCGTTATCTACTAGGCCACTGAAAGGACTCTATCATTATGAGAAACATAATTCGTTTATGTAATTAGTGAAGCTGAGGTTTTTTGAAAAAAAGAATTACATATTTTATCTGATATAAAGTGATCTATTTTTGGCTCATTTTTTGGACTGATCGAGACTAAACGTTGTTTCTAAATGTTTTAATCATGATAATTAGGTTTTTTTTTAATTATTTCTCTATGGACATGCCGTTCACCAATAAACCATCCAAGTTATCAGTAAGGCTGTCTGTGATAGCCATCCTCTGCCAGACTAGTGTTATTGATTCTGGATGAATGAAAGTGAAATAAAAACCTGGCTTGTGATGGGACTCGAACCAGCAGTCTTTAGGTCAATAAATAAGTATAAATATCCACATTGTCGGACAAATAAATAATTGAGTCTCAACTCTCGATTGCAGAACTGTCAGTGATCGACTTATCATCATCTTTAGTGAAAACTTCGAAATAAACGTCAGAAAAGCTGACTTCCAGTAGCAGTTTAGTCTACATTATTGTACCTGCCTTAGATTAGATTGGTTGTCATATTGTCCGATGTTCGTATTCCAGTATGGAAGTTTATAGGGATTCACTTATTGATTTCAAGTTAGTATTCCTCACGGACTGATATTAGCCGGAGAACCAATGAAAACCTGGGAGCACTGAACGGTTATTTTTTCCTGTTTTGGGACTCCTCAGCAGTGTGTGCTGTGACTGCGACAGGTTTCGCCAGGAGCACATTGCCGTTGAGTCACGAGGTCAGAATCTAATGATCCACATTCTCCCACTTCTCTCAACTCATGATATAGCGCGACCTCTTTTCAGTGCTGAAGCTGAGTAACTGTCCTCACGTTCAACTTGGTTTACCGTATAGGTATTGCATGTAAACACTAACAAGCAAATGAACAGAACGACTAGTCAACCAACCAATCGGATACAAGTTTGGCTAAGATCTTGTAGTATAGGTCAGTTCACAAAACTGGCAATCCTCATCTCTTCTGTGGTTGGATTTAAGTATATAACCTGTACATCAATGAAAATTCAGTTACCAAAAGCATTTCCACAGAAAATAATTTGGTCGAAAGAAGTCTAATCCCTAGATGAAAATCTGTGTTTAGAGATAAGAGCTGCCGAAGATTTTGATTGTTCAGAGTCTCTTTTAATAACACTAAAGTGTAATGTAATACCAATAATTTGACTCAAGTTTCTATACCTCATCAGTTTCGAGACTTTTGAGTTGAATTCAACTTAGTATTTACATTCTTAACTTGTCACAAACACTTACATGATTCTTCTTGAGATGATGCAAAATATTTGTAGCTCAGGAGAATAGTTTTGATGGTGTTGAGTTTTCTGAACTAGTTTATTTAATCGTGGAGCTTTCGTTGTCCTTGTAGATAACATCATCAACATAAACTCCAGAAGTTGAGACCCGGTCAGGTTCTAGATTGTATAGATATGTCAGTGAAGCACCAGATCGGTAACTCAGAGGCCGATGGTACGAACCCATCCACAACCAATGTTTTCATTCGACCTACTGTCAATCTAATGCATATATGTTTCAGTTTCAGCTGAAGTATACTTGTAACCAAACTTTTAGGTTGAAAACTATTGTTTATGGATAGCTTTTTTGACACTATGATCATACCACTTGCTGTTAGGGACTCTTCAACGCACGAAATAGGAGTAGTGTAATAAGTATTTTTAAAGTGCAGTTTCTTGTCAGAACGGTATTCATCAGGAACTGAAATTAGTTGGGGAAACAATGAAGGAAGTCTGGGAGCATCGGACAGCTGGGTCGTCCTATTTTGGGACTCTTCAGCAGTGTGTCCACGACCTCGTCAGGTATCGAAATTAGAACCTTCAGGTTCCATGGCCAGCGAGTTCCAAATGAACCAATGAGTTGAAATCCAGTGGCCCATATTTTCCACTTCTGCAATATATTTTGAACTGATATTAGTAGGAAATGTAGGCCGTTAAATCCCAACCCAGTGGCTCAATGGCAACGTGTAAGCCTCCGAACCTGAATATCCTGAGTTCGATATCTGTTGGGATCATGTGTGCGTACTGATGAGGAGTCCCATACTAGGACGGAACAGTCACCCACTGCTCCCAGATTTCCAGTATTTCTTCAACTGACATCAGCCCATGATGAATACTAAAAAGAAATCAATAACTAAATCCTCACAAGCTTTCAAATGTAACTTTTTTGTTCTCTAAATTTCCAAGAGTTTACTTCCATTCCAATATACCTCTTATTCTGTATCTTAAGCAATACTGACTGCTTAAAAGACACATTCATTGTTGATATCCATTAATAAGACTATACTGAAGTCATCTTACAAGGGTGTAAATAATTCAAATCTCTAGAGAAATCAATTTTAGCAAACTAATCTATGTTGCGCATGCATGCATATATATATATATATATATATATATATGGATGATAATGAGTACAATTATAGCAGCGAATGATGTTAGAAATCCAAAGCGATGTACCTCCTGAAAACTAAAAGCATGAAACCTAGGCGGAGCAGGTCCTCCTGTTAATTGACTCCCAACATGTGACATGAAAATGCAGTGCACTTCAGTGTCGTAGGAATCAACTCAGAGGTTGTACTGAAAACTTACTCGACAGGCTTTGTTCAGAGCTGAGCTAAACTAGTTGTCCATAAGTGACGAGGTTGATCATATTATCCAATCTTACAGGGGTCAGTTGAGCTGTGAACAGCTTGATGGTAAAGTCTTTGGATTCAGTGCAGTAGGACGCAGGTATGTAATGTATCATTTACGGATCACAGATTTCCTCATAGCTGCAGATGCCTTTTGCCGTCAGAAACTCAACAAGCAGGAAAGTCAGGTCCAGGGATTTCTAACAACTGTAATCTAACACTGAACTACTTCCTGGTTATTTGACAGGTCACAGAGATAATTATCAGTCTGACCGTCTAACACAGGCGTGGTTTGGCAGGCTTGTATTGACAATGGATGGTGACTGAAGGCGGAATCAAGATCAGGGTAGTAGTGGGGTTCAAACCACCAACCTCCAGGTTTCCCAGATAGTCAAACTGATAATCAATATGATACTCCCCTTCTTTAATTCGGGATGATATAGATTGAGATGAGAAGTCCTGGCTGGGTAGCCAGTGTGAACACAATGAACGGATAATAAAGTATTATGAATTCACATAACTGTCAGGCGAAACCCTTGGTAATTGAAATGGAATTAGGATTTGATCAGCAGCTGGCTCACGACAGCCGCTGGTTCGAACCCTGTGGAGTCCCAGATTCTTATTTCACCTTCAGTCATCCCCTAGTACTATATATATATATATATATATATATATATATATATATATATATATATATATATATATATATATAATATAAACTTTTAAACCAAAGTTTACTGAAAGTTTTGAGCACAATGAACTCAAGTCCCTAATTCACCGATTTCTTCACCTTTGTGTTTTGTCCAAATAATATTATATTTCTCAAATATTCGTTACTTGTTTCTTCAGAATTGATTTTTCTCGTCCGTGATAACCACTTCCAATTGATATGAGACTTTTTACGTCAACTGATAACAAGCAAATCGACAGTTCGTAATCGCAGCTCAGCCTCTTTAGAGAGATGACAGCTACAAAACGTGGACGATCAACTGCCCTTATTCAACATCATAGTAGAATTTTATTACTCATAGAAAGACATGAGGAAAAATATTCACTAATCACTATTGTGAAGGTAGTGAAATTAGAAAAACACTAACTTTCAGGTTGACTACATAAAGACGCTGTATTCGCCGCCATGGATGATGATATCATGCACATACATTTGACAGAAAGTCTCAAATCAGTAAGAAGTTTCTTTTTATGGTCGTTTTCGTTACGTTCGTTGTCCAGCTGAACGCGTAACTTAGAGACCACCTTCAAAATATTGACCGTATCACTTCTTTTCAACACTAGAAATTTTCTGCTTAAAATAAATCAAGTGTTTTTCTAATTTTTAAAAAATATTTTTCCATCTTATCTGCTTTCCTTTCCTTTAGCCTTATGAATTTGACAGTTTAGAGAAGGTTCTACCCCAGCAACAGCAACATGATCATCGTCCACATCATGATAAAAATTCAAGTTTCGATTTAGCCTGTCGACAATCCGACTATTCAAGCGAGAATGTGAGCAGTGTTAGTGCCTTCAATTATGAGAAGAATAATTTTTACTCAGTGGATAACAATAATGAAGAGGTAGAAAGTGAGTTGGGAGGAAGTAAAAACCAACAACACGTCTTGTCTGCATCGTTTACACCAACGCGTATATTCAAAGTGATAATGGTTGGGGACTCAGGTGTCGGTAAATCCAGTTTCTCTTATCGATTCTGCGATGGAGTATTTTATCCTCATCTAAGAGCAACTTTAGGTAAGTGATACGAAACGATCGTTATTTCCTATGGTGTAAGTTATCACGATTATTAAAGATCAATAACTGATTTCTCGTAGAGTCAATAAGATATAGACAATGATTTAAAGATGAATAATCAAACATTTAGCCATTATAACTGAAAGGAAGTTGAACTGCATCCAAGTACACACTAGTGTACTCCTTATAAAGAAACGCGAACAGATAAAATATTCCTTACGGTGAACCAATGCTGTTCAACTTATCTATATCTCCTGGATACGATGGAATATGTTCGGCCTGTGATTAGCGGGTTTACAAGCATAGTTGTGAGGAGATTGTTACAAGTTGACATATAGTAAACCGGACTCGGGAACCACACTGGCTACTGTCCTGTTAAGCTTCGGACTCAGGTTTCGTGCTTGTTAGAACTCATCAGCAAGGTGTATTCCAACCTCTACGGAAATGATGTCCCTTGTGAGATTCGAACCGTCGTCGCCCAGTGTTGTAGTCAGCGACGTTACCACCGGGGTATTCAGGCCGCGATTGACCTCTTATAGAACTGGATAACACATATTGGTTAGTCACTGGAGAGTAACCAATCTCATTTTGTCTAGTCTTGAGTCCAGATCGAATTCTGTAACTCATGTTTACAGTTTGGCCACCGAGCTAGGAGGCTTAGCATCGCAGTGCTTACTGCTAGATATCACTTGGTTGGAAACAACTGACAATCGGGCTTCCTACCGACTATAATAAAAGGAAAGTTATGTATCACAAACTAACATGGCAGCTGCGCAGAACCTTTCGATGACTGAAGTGAAGACCAAGTCAGCAGCTGAGTCTTGTAGTCCAGTTGGTAGAACAACGGACCTGCAACCAGAAAGTAGCTGGTTCGCACCTTTACCTTCAACCGTCATTCAGCCTTAATAATACCAATCTCAGATGGTCTAAGTTACATAAAGTAAGAGTATTAAAAAAGCCTGAATACTTATGGTCTATTTTCAGAATCACACTTCAGGTAAAAGAGAAGTACTGAACTTCTATAGATCACTTTTAAATTGCCTTCAGTAATCTCTCTTTCGCTTACCTAGACGATGCTAAGATGTTTTCTCTTGTAGAAAACTACAGATTAGTACAATCGACTTCTTACTCATGGGTTTTTTCTCATTGTGAAAAGTGTATTCTATTAGTGATAGTAAAATGTCCAGTGTTTCACATCTATGCATCTATTTAATTTACAGGAGTTGATTTTCGAACAAAAAATATTCGAATGAATAATTCAGTTTACACTATTCAATTATGGGATACTGCAGGACAAGAAACGTAAGTCGGAAAGTCAGAAACTTATCATTAGGTTAAGCCAATTATTGTTTTATACGGTGCTGAAATATAATATACTCTACCATTGTTGACTTCATGGAATGGATCATATGTCAAGGAACCACCGTTTAGGTAACATAGAAGTCAGATGTAGAGATTTTAGCACAATATGTAAGTCATCCGCACCTTCATCAACTTAGTTGGTCGGGAAACTTGTTACGCATGCCTAGTCACCGTTTAACCATTTGGACAATGTTAGCTGGGATAAGTTTAGGCCCCAGACAGATTAAAGTTGGCCAAAGTGAAGTGTGGCATCAGTCCATGAAGTCTCAGACTGTTCATCTAAACCATTCGGAGAAATGCAAGCATCTCAGTTGGAGCCCACATGGCAGCTGAAAACAGTGGTTGAAGACTGCAAGTGATAGGGCTAGGAATCATCCTCACTGGCTCAGATGCATCAACAAATTATCTTCATCTTGATAGTCATACCGAAATAATCACCCTTTTGTTCCATCTTGCAGTCTACTTAAGACTTATGAGGTGGAGTAACTTCAACAGATAAACAGTATTGCCAGGTTCTATGTTGATGCTGACTGAGTAGTAATATGCTCCAGAGGTAATCAAGATTATTTGTCAAGCTTTGCATGAAAAAAACTCATATTTAAGTACTTGAGGGACAAGTGAAAGTAAAGAAAAATTTGTGAGTTGTAAGGCAACTTGAATCACCGCCTCCAAAGTACTCTTCAACAATATTCTCATGGATCTAACTGCCTAAAATGAGTGGCACAGAAGTGAAATAGGTATAAATATCAAATGTCAGTAAAACATTAGGCTAGTAACCTACTAACTGCGGGCTCGTAAGCTACGTTTTCTTCAACTTCGGCCATCATCATACCTATCATCTGAACACATTCTAAATAGCTTATCTTTCTCTATGTGACAGATGCCCAGCGTTTGCTCTGCTTACCAATCCCTAGGATAACGGAAATCTATACATCAGGAAATTTTCGAAATAGTAGTAAAAATCTATACCTTCTGCTATGAAGGTGTTGGTAGTTTTGTTACTTATTGAACTCCAATTTTCTTTTTAAAAAAGCTTTCAGTTTAGCATTCATCATTGGCTGACATCACTTGGAGAGGCAGTGAAAATCTAGGACACTGGTTGCATGTTTCATTCTAACATGGGACTTCTCAGCAGTACACACATGTAGCCTCACCACGAGCGGAACCCACCACTGCATCCAGCACCTTGTCAGATAACCACCGGGTTGGAATCCAAAGGCTCGTGTTTCAAGTAGCTCAACGTTAGCGTGCTAGCCGCGGAACCCGAAGGCCTGAGGTTTGGTTCTCGGCAAGGTTATGGGCGCGTACTGCTGAGGAGTCCCATGCTAAGACGAAAAAGCTGTCCAGTACTCCACGGTTTCCAATGTTTCTCCAACTTACGTCATTCTGTGATGAATACCAACCTTAAACCAATAAATAAATCCCGACAAACCTCAAAACTGAAAAAACCTTTAACCAACAGACTTAACATCGTTTTCCGCTTGAAACAGTACTGAATTTCTACAGTTTGCTTAAGAAAACTATCAACTTGTCACAAATACAATCCAGCACTTGAGAGTACTGGATGGCTGTTTCGTTCCAGTATGGGACTATCCAGTAGGGCACACTGAAGACCATGTTACATACCAAACGCAGGACCTTCAAATTCTGTGGCAAGCACGTTACCACTGAGCCACTGGCTCGGAATTCAATGGTCCACATTTTCTCAGTTCTGTCAATTCGCGATATAGCACGGCCATCATCCAGTGCCAGTGGTGAGTATTTGTCGGGTGGAGCAAACCAAGTCAAACGCGAAGAGTTTCATACTAGGACAAAACAGTTGTCCAGTGCTCCCAGATTTTCAATGGTTCCCCAAATGGTGTCTTTATATGATGAATACCAACTTGAAGTCCCCATAAACCTTCAAGGTGAATTACGGTGGAGCAGTGCTAGTATTCTATTTTTGGGGGCTTTTTGTCATTTTTCACTGTGTATGTATGAATCAGTGGGGCCAGAGATACAGTTCCCCCAAATATTGTTCCATCTCATTGGCTTCAAGTTTCAACAGTCTGAGTCGTGATGATGAAGTTCACTTCACTCCTACACAGTTTCGAATTTGCATACATGCAAACGTGTGAAAGTGAGGCATGCACTCAGTTGTAACATTGTTGACGTCAGTGTTGGATCACGTAGTTGAAGTCTTTGAGAGAGAATTAGGAAGATGTCTAGCTGACGAGTATCATCAAATACTAGACTTGGGGTCAGAGATTTAAACAAAGTGAGTGCTAATGCCAAATCACTTGGCTTAGTGATCAAGCTGCGAAACTAATCGATGAAATCACTTCAGCACCTCAGAGCAAGTAAGGTGGGATTAGTTATCCAAAGTAGTTTGAATTCCATTCAACTTATTTGATCAGATATACAGGCTGTTTTTACTTGCCTATATGAGTCTTCTCATCATGGATTCGACATAAAACCGACTACTCTGTAATGGTTTTTTATTCTGTTACTGAGGGTTACTGGAAGTTGTGATGAAAATAATGATAATAAAGACAGAACTTCAAAGTTGCCGAAATTCTTTATGAGATTAGCTGTAAAAGGTTCCACTGAAAAGTTTGACACACCTATATTTGCACTTAAAACAAGGTTCAACATATACTAGAACTTGAATAAAGGAATGAAAACACCATTTGTAGGATAAGATGACGTCACTTTGTTCTTTAAGGATTTTCCTCAGCTGCATAAAACCTGAATAAATAAGTAAAAAATTACACAATTCAGATTAGACCAAGCTCCAACTTTTGTCAACTCCAATTGTATTTATCAACTCACATGTACATGTGGTAGCAAGTAGGTAGGAAGAATGCAAAAGCAGTCGTCTACCAGAACTACCGAGCACATGTCAAAGAGTCTAAGTCTCAGAGGTTCATTCTCACTCAGTAGTGCAATAGCCCAGCACATATATGATACGGGATATGAATTAAGTGTAATGAAATCCTTCATAGTAGTCAACAGACAAAAAACCTCGTGCATACTTCAAGTCGTCGAAGCCACCACTACCCGACGATTTGAAGCTGAATCGTGTTAACTTGTGTTCAGTTGTTTTTAGGTTGGGATTCATAATGGACTGATATCAGTTGGAGGGACATTAGAAACCTTGGAGCACTTCACAGCTGTTTCGTCCTAGTATAGGACTCCTCAGCAGTGCGCACCTGTGACACCGCTCTCCAGGGATCGAACCCAGGACTGTCAGGTTCCGTAGTCAACATGTTACCACTGAGCCACTGGGTCAAAATCCGATGGTCCACATTTCCTACTTATGTCAATTCACAATATGGCCCAGAAGTAGGATGAGGCAGTTCTCCGATGCTCCCAGGTTTCCAATGTTCCTTTAACTGATGTCAGTCCATGATGTGTTCGATTGTGTTTATTATTACCCTGGTAATTAGTGACTTTTCACCCTCTCACCTTTCATACAAATATTTTCAATACATTTATTTTCGCCCGTTCATATCCATATTGATTAGTGTCCCAATATTACCGGACTTTGTTATCATTATGGACTTTTTATCTCACCTGCTTATCATTCCGTTGACACAGTATTTTAACATGATTGTATAAACGCTTCTGTTAACATCCAATTATATCTCACTCATTCATGATCATCCCTCATCTTGGTTGATATAACGTTTAGCTAATTTGACTGGAGTAATTACCTGAAAATACTTTGTGTTCTGAACTGTGATGTATTTATAATTTAATACTCTCCAGCAGTGCACACCCATCTCCCCAACAAGGATGGGGAGCTTCGTCTGCGAGCAATACTACTCGTATAGACATGAAGTTGGTAATTCACTATACACTATAACAACCAACTTTGTGAATTTATATACTGGTCATAGATCAATAAGTTTAAACTGGTGACTTATTTTCGTTCTGTATGGACGCTTAAACTGATCAGTCCAAGTTACTGATATCCCTTCATGTTGGCTTTAGTGAATTAAAAAAATCTCCGCTTGTGACACACTTATCCCATTCTTTCTTCATGAATTCCATTAGCATCACGACTTAAAACGCATCAAGTCGATCAGCGAATTATGTCTGCCACTTGGTTTTCTATAAATTAGATGTTAGATCGCTGCACCTCTTGCAGTACTGCCTAGCTCAGGTGTACTGTCTCATGCCACTGTTTATATGGCGGGAAAAAAATGGGTTAACCAGACTAGTATAAGTCACGAACTATGACAGAGAGCAGAGAAAAGAAACAAAACTGTTTAACACTTTCTAAATAAGGCAGAGAAATACAAAAGAAACAACTTTATCTGAAAGAGTCAAAATTCACCGAACCAGCTTTTGTTTAGGCTTAAATATAAAAAAATGTATTCGCTGGGGTCAGGATCAAAGTTCGACATGGCAGTATACAATAACGTGTGTAACGGATGGATGTTTCATGAAACAGATACATTTACAAAACTGGAACTCAGCATAAATTTAAATTCCTTATAGTCTGTAATTTTGTGCAATGTGCACATCCAGAGATACAAACATTTCCTACTATTTTTTAAGTATTTTATACCTGTGAGGAGGTTGTAAGACCTGCCGTCTGAACCTCTCTGGATGGATCGGAGTAGTATTGTAGTTAGGGCTGCTTATCAGAATGGATATGAGCAGTATATGTTGAGAGAGCGGCAGAAATTATTGGCAACTACCAGCAGTGGGTAAACATTCTGCCCAGAGAAACGCAAGAGACAATGTGGGTGTATTAGGAGTAAATCGAGAAAGAAGCAGAAGAGGAAGTGAAACACATTATGAGGATTATGGCCTTAGTGGAAACTGATGACTACTGTACAAAATGTCAGTGATAGAAATTCCTTCCTTCGTCTTCGTTTAGTCGTCTTCCATAATTGATGCAGCTGCTCCTGGACATGATGAAGATTCCATGGCCCGCAGTGCTCGAGGATAGAGATATCAAGGTCTTCCTCAGAGACTTCGAGTAGGTCTCGGATATGATGGGTGTCCGGGATCCAGGAGCGAAGGTCGTGGTACTTGGCACGTTGCTGAGGGAGAGATCAAAAGTGACATATGTTGGCGTGGAACGTGTTGATGGGAAGGAGACTTGGAAGAGAATGGTTGAACGTCTGGGGGGGCGGAGTTTGACAGCCCAACAGACAGAAAGCTCTCACTGCAGCAGTTCCGGAGCACGAAACTTGGAATAGATAAGGACCCGCTGGTATTGGCTGTAAAGTTGATATAACTACTTCGACGAGCACTTCTCACTTTGGATGACGACCCCGAGGCGCAGTTGCTGGCTAAACGGTTCATCGAAAGTGTCCCGAACGCCATCGCCAAGCAGCTACGACTAGTGAACGCAGCCCAATTCATAGATATTAGTAAGCTGGCAAAGGTGACCAGACAGCTGATAGGTACAGCAGTAGCTGCAGTGGAGTCACCGGAGGTAAATAATTGAAGGAAACGAGAAGACTGAGAAGCAGAAAGGAATGTTTATTATTGACTTCTTGTAAAGTAGTCATAAAATATTGCACACTTTCCCCTAAGACAGTCATCTGCATAATGTGCTTCTGCTTCCATCTCGATTTACTCTTAATACACCCACATTGTCTCTAACGTTTCTCTGGGCAGAATGTTTACCCACTGCTGGTAATTGTCTATGATTTCTGCCGCTTTCTCAACATATTCTACTTATATCCATTCTGATAAGCAACCCCCGCAACAGTATGAGTGTATAATTCAGATAATAATCTATTCATTACTGTGCTTTGAAGCATTCATAAGCATTATGATTTATCTTATACCACTCACTAGTTAACACTGTGACAGCTTGTACACGTCCTAATGTTCTTTGGTCAGTGATGGTAGGCTATGGAATCCAGGAGGTATGTTTCCATCTACTTGGAACTAGTCAGTTGAATGACGCTGAGTCCAAGTGAATAGGGGCGCTCCAACTGACAGCTGAACCTAGTACTTATTATTTTAACCACTAAGCTACCGATTTACGTACGGTAACGATTTCCATGAGGTTGAGAAACGTCTAAGATCTACACTTCTTCTTCAGTGACATTGTGAAGATAACTTTCTTGTAAGTAGATAAAAAAGTACTTTTAAAACCTTAGAAACAATTCCCTTTTCAGAATGTAGACATCAATCATGGTTTAAAACCAGCTTTCATAAAAGTATTTTAGTTATTTCTTCTGTCCTGTCGTACACATTATATTTAAGTGAACGATAAAAAAGATAAACCATTTTTGCAAACATTTCCATTCTCTTTTTCATCTAAATTCATCTTTCTACTACACTAAAAGAAAATCCACGAGATGAACTCGGGAACCACTGTGAAAAGCAAATCTATCTTGGGTTCTCGTCAACTCTGTTTCTAACATTCACCCAATTTTCTTCAGCCTCTCATCTTATGTATAATTGTTTTACCAGTAACTGAAAGTTCTTATATTACATTACAGATATGATTTTTACGTTGTTTTGCTTCAAAGTGAAAGTTCTATCTAAAGAATCCTACAATCTTTTTAATCATTGATGTAACTATTTTAAATGACCATTGTTTGGCATTCCGGTGTTACCGATACTGGACGATGATCGAAGATGAGATAAAGACCTAGTCTGTGGCAAGATTCGAACCAGTGGCCTTAGAGTTACCAACCTGAAACTCTACTCAATGGGCTACGAGACCCGACTAATGACTGAGGTCATGTACCTTGATCCCACTGGCGGCCCAGCCAAGACTTGACATTTCCAATCCAAATCAACCTGGAATAAAGAAGGAAGGCGTCATATTGATTACCAGAGAGGATATTTGAAGTGACCACAGTCTGGCAGTCAGGACGGCGTCTAACTAACAATCCAGGTGGCATTGGTTTCAATCCTGCCTCCACTCATCACACAGTATCAATTTTATTTAAGGTAAACAGCTTTGAAAGTATCTCCAATAGAAATGATACAAATGGCAAACCTCAATATTTTCAACACTCGTAAATCTTGATTTGGGAGAAAAACACCCATCCTGACTTGAAAAGTGAAACAAGTACCTCAGTGAAAAGACTTTTCAACGACTTCATCTTGAAAGCTGTAAAATCGCAGGTTTGTACTTTTTTCTTAAGTTAGGGTTTGATATTCAGGTTGGCATTTATTATGGACTGACATCAATTGGAGAAACATTGGAAACCTGGGAGCACTGGACATTTGTTTTGCCCTAGTATGAGACTCTTTTGCATGGGTTCGCACTGCTGGAGAGTAACATACTAGAACGAAACAGCTGTCCAGTACTCCCAGGTCTCTTAAATATTTCCCCAAGTGATGTCAGTCCATGATGAACACCATCCTAAAAATCAATGAATAAATCCCCACAAACCTCCAAATTATGAAAAACGACAACAAAAACAGTGTCGATATATGAGATGTCAGTGAAAGCAAAAATGTTGATGAATGGTGAAGAAGTTACATAAGATGATGGAACATTTGGAAACTGAAGTGTGATCGCTAAAATGAGTATAGAAATCAGAATAAATAGCAAATTACGTAAGAACTGAACAGAGTAGGAAGAAAAGAGACGGTTTCGAAGACTGGAAAATAAGGCCGTTAAAGAAAAAGATTTGGAACAATTTTCTTTTGTGTTCAAAGCTCAGATCTCTCCACATGGATGGCAAGAGTTCCAATGACGCATAAAATACACAGAATTACAGTCTTTGAAAGGTTTCTTTCTACTTTATAAATGACTTTATAAATGAGGAGCTCTTGGTATAGGGTGACCCGTTTGCACACTAGGTTTAATTAGAGCACTTTTTACCGATCCACGGTTACATCTTTGTTAGCCCATGAACTCTTTTTGATAACACTCACATCGAAAGACCTATAACCTGGGGGTAGAAGTGCAGGCAAAATGATATGTTCGCATGGAAGCGGTCAGATGCGAACGTTTGTCCTTCAAAATGTTAAAAAACACCAAGGGATAGAAAAACGCTGGTCTCACTGTTGATGCAATTGATGTTTTCCCCAAGTAATTCGATATCCTCCACTTTAAAGTGTCAGTGACGGAATCACCTTCAACACTTAAAGTTGCATAAAGCATTTATTTGGTGCGGTTGTAGGGTTCTCTTTGTGACGTTGTGAATTTATATTCTTGTCCATGAAGTGCAGGGGAAATCCCTTTACAATCACAATGTTTCTTAGAACCGAAATTTCTCCTTCCAACATATGGGAACTGCAGATTTGTCTAATGCGAGTGGCAAAAGACTCAAAGGGACTCACCTATGGAATTTCATCAGTTGACCATTTCATATAGCTTTTCAGTAAATCAATCTTCTTAATATTCCATCAGTTATTCATAACAGCTCTAGATCAAGAAGCTGGATATTCGATCCTTTTTCAACCTTAAGAGGTGAATGTGAGTGGCAACCACTGAATACCTGTAAAATATGATTTAAGTCACACTGCTTATCACATGCGATAGGTTATGGGACAAATGGAAGCATTTAAGAGGTACCACAGCTAGAATTCATACAGAAATATGTTTGTAATAGCTTACCAGCTCATAAACAGTACAGATGCTAGTGGAAGGAAGTAGACATGTGCATTCTTCAGACTATCTGCTCTCCCACTGAATCACTTGATGCAAAGGCCAAAAAGTAACATGACAAACATCACCAGGACATATGTACCCGACAGTCAGTTATACCGATTTTCTCGCCTCATATTTCTCCCATCCTTCGGTCCAAGATTATTCTGTGTACTGGTGCTGTTTCTAGTGCCTATATCACACACTTATTCATCTCAATGAGATTTGTGTTTAAAGGTATTTACGAAGTCTGAAAATAAATTAACCAATGACATATGTAAACCCTGTCATATTTACCATCCTCCCTTTTTATATACAATACTGTTTTAACAACACATTCAACTAAGTTTCAAATTTTGCATTAACCTTATCTTCATTCTTTTCTCCAGGTATCGTTGTATCATCCGTTCGTATTTCCGCAAAATCGATGGTGTGATCTTGATGTATGCCGTCAACCAAACTGAAACATTTGCAAATATCAAGTACTGGATGGAGACAATAAAAGTAAGTTTAGGCGTGACTGCTCATTTCAAAGGCATTTAGATTTCAGTCACACAAAAAAGTTTAATCTTCATCCAGTAGTTGTTTACCAACTGACGGCAGTCATCTCCATTTAGAAACCGTAAGACATGATTATAGATACGGATAAGTGTTCCTTTAGTGAACCATCATAGATTAGAGTTCACATTGAAAGCAACTATCTCCTAAACACGATTATTATTTCAAATGAAAATTTGGGGATTTACGAATTAAAAAAAATTTTAAAAGAAAAAAATTTAAAAATTTACCATTCGATTTATGGTGCACTAGTTTATCCAAATTAGCTAGTCAGATTCAATTCATTCGAGCATTTCTGCTCTATCAGCTGAATTTGAGTGGGTACACGGCTGATGAGTCCAGTCCCGAACGAGCGAAACGTTCATTTGGTGTTTGGATCTCTGTAATTTGGCTAGTGAAATCTATAAACCAACATGAAATCTTCCCAACTACTCACTTCATTTTGTAGAAGAATTTACCTGGTAGGATAATCTACCTAGTCACTGAACGGAAGAAACCTTTTCTTTCTGTGTCATCGGTATGTCTGAACACTGGACGGCTTTTTCCACTTGAACTCTATCATCTTCCTTGTCTTTTAGTGAGAAAACCAATGGAATATTGTTTCTGTTTTCAGTATAAGTGCCTGTGTGCTTACTAAAATATACCAGAACCATTCTGTACCCTAGACGATCCATACAGTAAATTATGTCATGAAGAAAGAATGCTAAAGTTGTGTAATCTGGACTGTTGTAGTGCATCTCGGTGGCTGAATAATAATCTAAATACTTATGAGAGCAATAAACTTCAAGTTTTTACTTCACTTAGAGTGCTGGCTGAGAGCATTGCCAGTCAGTCAAAACTCGTACTAAACAGCTCCATAGTGCACTCTACTTTACAGCAGTTTCCTCCCTGATCTCAAGCCATTATAATAAATTATTTTTAAAGATGCTTTGAGCTCTACCTAACAAGTTTGGAGTGTAGCTACTGTTCGAATTGATTTGACATTGAAGTGGAGTATGCGCAGTAGTGATTTTCTAGCGCGCTTGATCCAATTTTGCGAAATATCAGTTTTCGTCAGAAAAGCGAATTGGTGGCTATATGGATTAACATGAGGAAGCGTATATTGTTCTTATCATATGATGAAATATACTACTGAACAACTTGAGCAGTTAAAAATCATTCAGGCTGATATGTAGATCTCACCAGCTAGATCAGAGAGATCTAAACACCGAATGGCTGTTCCCCTCACTTGCGACTGAGCTCATCAGCGGAGCACCCAGACAAATTCAGTTCATAGAGAGCCACTTAAATGTGGTTAGTTAACTTGGATAGACTGGCATAACTTAAATAGGATGATCAATTAGAAAATAATTTACAAGCTGTAAATCAGCAAGGCAGATTCAGGTGATCTGAACAGTTTGGATTTCTTATCATATGAATTTGTTTTGGTATACTGCTGATGAGTTTGCTTGACCTGAAACGAAAGAAAAGATAGTCCAGTGCCTAGATCAGTCTGACTTGACCAGTGAAATTATTATGGGTTCGATGTGCTCATAGTATATGTATATATTCCGAAACGAATATAATACGCGCGCTTAGCTGACGGCTAACTTGGTACGCAAGACACACTGGCTGCAACCCCTGGACGAATAGAGAGAAGACCGAAGCTGGCAGAAGGGAGAGTGTATTACTCCGAGAGTATAATATAATAACAATGAATCAATCCAAAACACGTGAATAAGTATACACATGAAAAATGACCTTGTCAGCAATTGGAGCATTCGCATAGTAAGAGTAAAAGTTAACCAATCAGCAAATTACATTACAATGGGGGTAGAAATAGACTATTAGTCATACCGTAAAAAAAGTAGGAATGACACATTAAAATGTTCGGATCGATAACAATGTTTTATACAAAACTGGGGCAACACAACAGAAATCTATAATTAAATTTTGAGGGGTTGTGGAGATTTGGAAATATTTCAAGTTGTTATTCATCGAAGATTGACATCAGTTGGAGGAACAAAGGAAACCTGGGAGCACTGGACAGCTGTTTCGTCCTAGTATGGGACTCCTCAGCAGTGCGCACCCACGACCCCACCAGCAGGGATCGAACCCGCGACCTTCAGGTTCCGCGACCAGCGCGTTACCATTGAGCCACTGGGTCAGAATCCAATGCTCCATATTTCCAACTTCTGTTAGCTCACGATATACTAGGACGAAACAGCTGTCCAGTGCTCCCAGGTTTCCTTTGTTCCTCCAACTGATGTCAGTCTTCGATGAATAACAACTTGAAAGAAATCTATAAGTCAACGTGGATGGTTTCTAAATACTCACGTTGTTCAGCAGAATATTTAGTTAGCTCATTCCACTTTTGTGACAGAGATCACGCCTTGCAACTTTGACTGAGGGATTGTTTCTAACGAAAACCCTGTCGACAATATTGAAGTTGGGTAATTGAAAGTCTTCTCATCTGTCAGTAATGTCAATGTGCACTGTGCAATTTGTAAACCGTTTGGAAATTAATCATGAAATTTTTGTAATTTGCCAAGACTTTCAAGTGACTTTAAATGCTACCTTAGAAATGGCTGAAATAACTAGTCAGATTTTGGAATGTCGTCTGGGATATTACGTTTTTTCATCAAAAAGTGAAACTTAATTAATTGTCTCAGCAGTTTTTAGGGTGGTCAGTCTGGAGTCTGAGGGAGTACGGTTGATTCTGTATACAAACTCAAATTATAGTGTCTCAGTGACATATCCTCACATAAACTAATCAGAATCCCTTTTATTTGTGGTTAAAGTCGTATAAGTCGAATAAGAAGTATCTGTAGTGACGATTGTATCGTTGGACAGCTATCTTTTTTAAAAATCATACTTGTCGAAAACGGTTACCCTAGCCGTTTTATTGATAAAAATATGCGGGAAAGAAACACTAAACCAGTCATCCACTCGGTCTCAAAGAAAAGATTGTTTATAAGCCTAGAGTTTAAAGGAGACCTAGCATCGGATGTACTGAAGAATCGTCTTACCAGACCAATCAATAGGACTTTCTTCGCAGCAAGACTTCAGTTGACTTTTACCAGCCGCAACCTATTCTCCACCTGCGTTAAAGACAAGCTTCCTCGTTTGGCCGCCTCTATGTGCATCTACCAGTTCACCTGCTCTTGTGGAGCAAGGTACATCGGCCGTAGCCAGAGAATGCTTTCTACAGGTATACGAGAACATGTTCCTGCTTGGTTTTATAAAGGTGAAAGAAAGTCTGTTAGAAGTTCAATTCTAGAACATTTGATTGACTCCCATCACACAACAAATCCAGACGATGACTTTGAAATTATTTATCAAATTCACCCAAACCTCCCACGTTCTCTTTGTTTTCAACTCCTTAAAACAGCGGAGGCTTTAGCTATTCATGAACTAAGACCTGATCTGTGTGTACAAAAGAAGTATGTGCAGTCACTGTCTTTGTCATGGCCATGACATTTTCCCCATCCCATTAGTTCCCCCTCCCACTTTGTTAATTCAACCTTCGTATCCTTACTTTATCACTATTATTGTTATTATGATCGCCTTCACTTTAACTAGTTTCCGGTTTTGTTTCACTTAATTGTCTTAATCCTTTTAGAAAACACTGACTTCATCTTGTCCAATTTGTCTAATGCCATTACATAATACTTAATTGATTTACCATTTTCAACAATTTTTTTCACCCCCTTCTGAGTTATATACTCTCTATGTACCATTCCACATATTACATAATCTATTTGTTATCATTCGCACTTAAATTGTTATTATAATCATAAATGCCTATGTCATCACCCGCTCTATTATTATTGTCATCATCATATAGTGTTTAGTTTTCCTCACAGGATATAATTTTTTCCAAATACCATATATATACGATTGTACAGCTTGAAAATAAATTCGTTGAAAAGAGTCTCTTCGCTGAATACCTTGTTCTTAAAGTCGTCTGTTACACTTGCTCCCACTGTGATATAGTCGACCGGAAGTAAATAAGTGATCTTGGGCATCGAAAATAGTGATCAACACATTAATCGATTTTCACTGGCATGAAGTAATTTCTGAATTATTCACTGCACGAGAATGTATATGGAATCAAAAACATTTCTTGAATTAAGAGGCAATATGACGATGAAAATTTCCTACTATCACCGATGATCTTCCTGATTATGGTCGACTGAAATGGAATGGATAATACAACAAACTGTAAGGGGCTGTGAGAATATAGGCATATGCTGTTTGACAGACGAAAATACCTAAGAGGAAGATCTAGATTTCACCGATGATGATTTTTGTCTAATATTAAACAAACTCGAAGATCAAAAGGCAAAAACCAATTGATTGACAGAAGAGGCAGCGAAGACGGGACTTCCTTCAGGTGAACGTAGAGAAGACAGAGATGATGGAGATACCTAACCAACAACAGCAACAACGACAACAAGCACCAATCAACGTCAACGGGAGAAACCTAAAGGAAGTAGTCTCTTTCACCTACCCATCTGCCTAGGCAGCATTGTTTCAACCACAGGTGGCACAGATGAGGACATCAAAGCGAGCCAGAGTCGGAAACACAGCAAGACGTCTTCATTCATCAATCTGAAATCAGTGTGTAGGTCTACAGCACTCCACTGAGCATAAAGCGAGAACGAGATTCGGATTTTCAACACTTAGTTGGTCAAGTCAGTGCTTCTATGTGGTAGTTGAGAGACTTGGAGCGTTACGAAAAGTACTTCCAACAAACTAAAGACATACATCATCAACAGCTGCTGCCTACACTCACTCAATACTAAAGATCAGATCAGATGGCCAGACTAATAAGAATAAGCAAGGAGGAACTTTGACTGACTGACTGACTGACTGACTGACTGGCTGGTAGCGAACCAACCAACAACCTATCGACCAACAAATATGCAAAAGAAAGTGGAGATGGACTGGGCATACACTGAGAAGACGGTTTAGGGACATCACGCGCCAAACCAGACCAGGTCGTCGAGTGGAACCGAAATGAGAGACGACGAGTTTGAGGTTGGAGGGTGACGTGGAGGAAATGGTGTGAGGAAGAAATGAAAGGTTGTGGGCAGTCTTGGAGCCAGGTTGGGAAGACTGGAGAGAAGAGAGTGGAATGGAGACGTGCTACTTAAGCCTCACTTCTCACTGGGAACCCAAAAGGCAAATAATAATAATAATAATAATAATAATAATAATAATAATAATAATAATAATATAAAACTGACCTTAAGTACAATTTTTTCGTAAAATGAATAAAGCAGTATGACTAGTCATACCTGTCCGAGATACTCACTCCCGTTTTTGTGGCCGGTAAAACATGTTAAACTATTATCGGAGGATATAAATAGTTTCGGAAATAAGGTAACTGGAAATTGTGTTTCCTATCACATAAAAACAGAAGTTGGTTTCAGCATGAATCAAATCTTTCTTAACAGTATCACTATTTTCATGTAGCAGTAATGTCAACTTTACATTTGAGGATAAACATATACGTCAAATCTATGCTGTAGCCATAGGGAGATTTTCAAGTCCTTTGCTAGCAGATATTTGTATGTCACACGTTGAGACTTCTGTTGAAAAGTTCCCTCCTATAAAGGTTATGTAGATGAAATCATAAGCCAGAAGATGATATTTCAATTCTCAATCTTTAAGTCGCCGACAAGATGGGTCAATAAGATGATTCATCTATAAGAAATGTACGTGGACAGAACAGTACCAGTTTATCGTACATCCTACCCGCTTCAGCATAAATGGACACCAGTAAATTGTCTGTTCAACCGGATTCAATGAATATACATAAATGAAAATTTACAAAAGGAAACGCAAAACCTCATCAAAGTATTATTAGACAGCAATTATTCCCTAGAATTTATAATTGTAATAAAAATGCCAAGCGAAAAGCAAACATTATTCAGTCAGTTCCAAGAGAGGATGTCTGCATCATGCCACCGTATGTGAATGATTCTGGGAGTTTGATAGTCAAACAAGGACTAAAAGCGGGCACCCAGCGAATATACCTAGGAGCAAATGTCAACATTATAGAAGAAAAGAAACTTGTGTACTTCTGTAAGGCATTACATCACATAAATGATGGAGTCACATCCAGCTGCGTTTGCCAGCTTACTTATACGTATGGTCAGACATACATAGGGAGTGGCCATCGACCTACGTGATTTAGGGCCACAGAGAACATTGCAAAATGGTCGCAGCAACAGTCGTCCCTTAAGGCATATCTGTAAGTTGAAAACGTTATGAGTGAACGCTTCAGGTTGTCACTGATTTTCTTCAGAGCTGGATAAAAGACGCTGACTGATCAATGGTACTTACACAACTAAAAATGATAAGTTAAGATTGTCCAGTAGATCTTGTCATGGAGTAGTTGGATCAAAGTACCCTATTACTAATTACATAACGTTTCTGACCGTCTGTCTGAGTGGTGTGAAGATCTTGTTTAGCTGCAGGCAGTTAGGAGGAAAACCTACTTCAAATGGGTCTCGTACTTGCTAGCACTCGTTAGGAAGATGTATCTTCTGCCGTGAGGGGACTGATGCCTCCTGTAAGACTAGAGACCTAGGAACCCAGTAGTGTAGTGAGACACATAACTGCTGAGTGATTTGAGTCGCAACTGACCTCCTAGGGTAATGGACTGGATACACTCGTTGGTCAGTGGAGAGTAACCGATTCCGTGTTGTCTACTCTTGAGTCCTAACCGAATCCTATCTCTCATTTTGTAAAGATCTGTCATATTCGCGTTTGGTATCTAATATATCATCATAACTAGTGAATAAATACTTTGGAAGGAAAGCCTTACACTTCAGCACTGTGGCATAGGTGTTTTTACTCATAATCTCCCTCAAGTAAATGAACATCTCATCGCTAAATGATGTTTAATTCCCGTCCTGAGGTGCTTCATCTGTGTTTCTTTTGATTTAACCTTCCAGTTGCCTGATTTCTTCTCACCAGGTTGATTGGAAATGCACTAAGCTGAACTGATACATGAGTGTTCTAGTTCATTAACGGTTTCCATATATCCTTGTTTAGTAAGCATCAATAAAGGTGACATTAGTATATTGGATGACTAAAGACATTTGATATGACATTGTATGAATAAGCGGCTGAAACTCCTTGCTGACGATTACTGACGAGACAGAAACTCGTGTCAAGATTTTTTGTCAATCACTTCCAATTAATCAACGGATTGAACAGAGTGCACAACGCTACCTAATCACCCTGGCTTGCTGATTACACTGGTAAACTTGGCACAATAAAAATTCAGCTTGCTCTTCAGGTAGGACAGCATGAAATTGACTACTTTCTAGTAAATTATGACTGCACATTATATTACTATGTTCCAAGGGTTGATTTCATTGCTTGTGATTCCCGGTTCCTATACAGGATCGAGCTGTCTGATCTCTGTTGGCAGACGGACTCTTCTGTGCATGCCTCGGTGCTCCCCGAGTAGTCCTAATGCTGTGTCCATGTCAGTGACTAGCAGCGGGATCCAGGGTGCGCTTTTCGTCCCATTTAAGACTCGTCAGCTGGATGTACCTGCACCCCTAATGGATAACATCTTGGCGTTTGAAGTGATCCGTACTGGGTTCAAGTCCTAGTAAGAACAACATCAGTTACTAGGATGTAGGGAGGTTCAGCTGCCGAGCCCCCAAACAGCACGAAACGCTCGTTCTTGATCCCACTGCTAGCCACTAGCATGAACACTATACACATTTATATTATATCAGTGACAAAGTTCCTAGTTTGCAGGGATTTGTTGATTTGAAACTAACTTTATTCACTGACTGACGTCAACTGGACAGACGGCGAAGACTTAAGATAGCTATTTTGTCCTAGTTTGGGACTTCTTGACAATCAGGTCTCATGACGATCGCATTACCATTCAGCCACTGGGTTGAAAGTCAGTAGTGAGATAATTTCTACTTCTGTTACATAGTGTGAATATCATCTGATACCGCTGTTTTTAGTTGTACTCCAACTCATTAGGTGAATAGTAAAACGCTGACTATGGCACGTGGTGGACCCGGGCTCAGTCAATCAAGGTCGTTAGTGCGCACCACTGAGGAGTCACAAACTAAGACGAAACAGCCAACCAGCGACTTCAAGTTTTCAGTGCTGCTTCAATTCATGTTAATCCACGATGTAAATGCCATTCAACTGAATAACAGCCAATTCTTTTCAATGTTCAGTCTAACTAATTGCTTACTACTGTGCATTTTCGGTTTATTTTTATTTCAAAAAAAAAGGAATGTACAAGTGATATTCATGTTCCAGTTCTTCTTGTTGGCAATAAAATAGACTTACGTGACGCACAAGCTAAAGATGAAATTGGACAAGATGAGAATAGCCAGAAGTTGTGCGACATGATCTCATATGAAATGGGTGATAAACTAGCCAAAGTAAGTAATTGAAATGCCTTTCTCATTGTCTACTATGTATGCGTTTATGTAACTGTGTTAGATCGTAGGCGCTAAATTGATTCAATAAGTAGCCAACTATTTATATGACACAGGAGGAATCAGAGGCTTGCAGCAGGAGGGATAATATCACTGAGCGCTCGTTACGGCATAAAGTGGTATTACAAGCTGCTAGTGAAGACTGCGACTAGCAAACATTTCTCCGGGAGACTACATACCTTAACTAGTACTGCTTCTTTTAAAACCGAAAAGTACTTCTGTAACTTATTGTCAGTCAGTATTTGGTTAAAAAAAATCTACAAATGTGGACCTGAGTATTACACGAACAAACTCTTCACATCAATAAAACTGTGATAATGCTTGCATTTAAAAGCATTGCAGGTTCATTGTGACTACGATAAACGGAGAGGGGTTGACTACACTTCAGTCCAAAAAGATAGTATTGAACACCAGCTCAACTCAAATTGTTAAAATTTTTTGATCCATTTTTCCTACACTGTGATGATTTTGAAGACATTTTCACCACACACGAAAGATCATTTCAAAAAAGGCTGATAGTTAAGCGCTACTTGATTCACGGAATTTTAAACAGAAAATTTTGTTTTATATTCGAACCAAAGGATGATATTAATCATGGAAGGAAATTTTCTTTTAAACCATAAGAATAGCGAATACCTTTTAATTTCTGTGGGGAGAAAATTAATTACGTCGTTTTAAATAAATTATTGTTGTTATGAAATGATTTCATTCAGTTTTTTAATTAACTTTATGTATTGTGTTCAACTATTCACGAGGTCATCAGTGCTAATTTGCAGTTCCCCTTCCCGCGTAAAAAACACTACAGAGCAAATGTCAACAGGAATGTGTTTCACTCTATTGCTTCGGTATACTTCACAAAGTTGAAGTCAAACTTCGTATATTTTTCTGTTTGTAAATACCAATGAGAGATACTCTGAACACAGAAGTTTATGGCTTTTGTTGTTAAACCTTGTGCGTCTTGTGCACAACTGACTATGCTCGTCGTACAACGAGTGTCTGTAGTGACTCATTGGTCTACCGGATAACACTTTGCTGTTTGAAGCGATTGCCTTCAGTTTCCAGATCTCATAGGAACAATATCAGTCACTGGAAGGCAGGATCACACAGCTGATGAATCCCGAAAATAGGACGAAACGCCTGCCTAAGGTTCTTTGCTAGTCACTATTCATTAACAGTAACAAAATTTTGTAGTTCAGTGTCTCTGCACACCAACAACTGATACATTACATTAACATTACCAATAGTCCTTCGGGTTCCCAGTGAGAAGTGAGGCTTAAGTAGCACGTCTCCATTCCACTCTCTTCTCTCCAGTCTTCCCAACCTGGCTCCAAGACTGCCCACAACCTTTCATTTCTTCCTCACACCATTTCCTCCACGTCACCCTCCAACCTCAAACTCGTCGTCTCTCATTTCGGTTCCACTCGACGACCTGGTCTGGTTTGGCGCGTGATGTCCCTAAACCGTCTTCTCAGTGTATGCCCAGTCCATCTCCACTTTCTTTTGCATATTTGTTGGTCGATAGGTTGTTGGTTGGTTCGCTACCAGCCAGTCAGTCAGTCAGTCAGTCAGTCAGTCAAAGTTCCTCCTTGCTTATTCTTATTAGTCTGGCCATCTGATCTGATCTTTAGTATTGAGTGAGTGTAGGCAGCAGCTGTTGATGATGTATGTCTTTAGTTTGTTGGAAGTACTTTTCGTAACGCTCCAAGTCTCTCAACTACCACATAGAAGCACTGACTTGACCAACTAAGTGTTGAAAATCCGAATCTCGTTCTCGCTTTATGCTCAGTGGAGTGCTGTAGACCTACACACTGATTTCAGATTGATGAATGAAGACGTCTTGCTGTGTTTCCGACTCTGGCTCGCTTTGATGTCCTCATCTGTGCCACCTGTGGTTGAAACAATGCTGCCTAGGCAGATGGGTAGGTGAAAGAGACTACTTCCTTTAGGTTTCTCCCGTTGACGTTGATTGGTGCTTGTTGTCGTTGTTGCTGTTGTTGGTTAGGTATCTCCATCATCTCTGTCTTCTCTACGTTCACCTGAAGGAAGTCACGTCTTCCTTCACTGCATCGCCTCTTCCGCCAACTTGTTGGTTTTCACCTGTAGATCTTCGAGCTTGCGTGACATTGGACATAAATCATCATTGGTGAAATCTAGATCTTCTTCTTAGGTATTTTCGTCTGTCAAACAGTAAATGCCTATATTCTTGCAGCTCCTCACGGTTCGCTGCATGATCCAGTTGACCACAGCCAAGATGATCATCGGTGATAATAGTAGGCGGCAGCCTTGTTTTGTCTTACTCCTGTCTTCACTTCAAAGGCATCACTGATCTTTCCATTGGGAATTACTTGCCATGTAGCATCCTCATATAGCTGTAACTGTCTAATGAGGTTGGTCAATGTTTGTGGCACTCAAACCATAGTATTGAAGCAGCTGCCTGCCAAATTACTTCTCGGCGTTATCGACGCTGTCCAAGGCCTCTTCAAAATCGATGAAGTTGAGGTACAGGTACAGTTGACTGCCATTCTATGCTCTGTTCTCTGATGATGCGTAGCGTAGCATTACAATTTGATCCGCACATGATTTGTTTTTCCTGAAGTCAGCCAGCCTGTTTCGGTCATATTTTGAATCCAGAGCATTTTCTGGTCTACCAACAAGCGATGATAATCTAATGTAGGCAATGTGCTGTATTAACTGTCATGAAACCGAATACGCTGTCGTGTATAGTAGTCACCGTGATTCATTGCATTTTCGCCATAATTCGACAGCTGGTGTCAAGCCATTCTTACCATCCTTAACGGTGAGTTCACTTTTTCAAACTGAGAATGCTAGACAGTTGACAGTGGGTGGTTAAACACTTTACCCATAACAGGATCTATGAGCATGACGACTAGAGATTTGAGATGGACATTAGTGGAAGTGTCACGTGATGAGAATCAACAGACTTCCAACCTAACCGTACATTATTTAGGTGATTATCGTCAAAAGCTTTAAACCGATTCATTCAAATGTAATACAAATCCAATTCGGAAGTTTGACGGGACTTATTCATTGATTTCAGGTTGGTATTCATCAAGGACTGACATCATGTGGAGAACCATTGAAAACCTGAGGGCAGTATATAGCTGGTTCGTCGTAGTATGAGACTTTTTAGCTATGTGCACCATAGCCTCGCCAGAGATCAAATCAAGGACTATTGGACCACTGTGTCGAAACTCAGTAGTCATCATTTACTACTTCTGCCAGTTCTCAGTACAGCCTTACCTCCACTTATTGCTGTCGTTGAGTAAGTACCTTCAAGTACGACTTGGTTTACCCCACCGGCCTTAACTTCTCATTAGAACTTGAGGAATCTCATCTTGAAGCATGTTACTGATTAGTACTGGACAATAATTTAATTTGTAGGTTTTGGGGGATATATTTGTTGATTTCTAGTTGGCTGTGGTAGATCTTGAACTGCCAGAAGTAAAAATATGTGGACCGTCGATCTCCGACCCAGTGGATGAATGTTAACTTGCTGGCTGTGGAACCCGAAAGTCTTAGTTACGGTTCCTGGTTCTGAGTAGTCAGATACTAGGGCGAAACAGCGATCCAGTGTCCTCTGGTTTCTAGTACTTTCCTAATTGATCTCAGTACATGGTGAATACCAACCTAAAATACAAATTTCTATGAAAAATCTGTTAGCTGTACAATTTATACCACTGACTAATATGAGTAGTTGCAGACCACTCACACCAATCACCAGTACTCCCTAGTCAGATAAGGGTGATCCGAGAACTTCGAGGCTGTTTCAGTCATTTCAAGTTACCCTCAGCAACAGTTCACCGGGTCGATTCAGCTCAGAGAGACGAACTGTTCAAACTACCGGAACTCCTGCAAGTTACTTGAGAGAACTGACTACACAAACTCTTCTTGTTTACTGACTTGTCCATTATGTTGACTGAAATAAACCCAATCTAAACTAACTATATTACCTTTCTATTAGTTCATGAATCAGACTTCAACTTCAAGAATTAAATACAATCGGGGAGACTTTAAAGGCCACCCTAGCAACTGATGAGGCAGCCAATTATATTCCTTCATTTTATAGAAAAGTACTTTTCCTGGTGAAATGACAAAGCCTGATTGGTCATTTCAGCAGTCGCTAGGGTGACCTTCAGATTCACCCTGCGATTGTCAGCAATTAGCTCCAGACGGCGATGAAAAGTCTGGAACTTAAATTTTCCTCTTGTCATGCCTACAAGTTGTACGACTAAGTATTACTTTATCCCGTCCGATATACAGAAATATTACAGTTCAGTTGCATAGCTAATGAATGATCTGCAGAATAGACAAATGGATACGCGCACCGGTTTGTAAGTGATGGATGCCAATGAATAGGAAACTGGGGTTCCATGGCTTTGTATCCGTTGCCATCACAAACCAAGAACGAAATATGGCTACACTTCGATATCATGCCGTTTTGACCAGGTGAACATGATAGGTGGATTTCAGACAACACAGACGATGACAGAATTATCCTTGTAAAACAAAAATTAGTATCGATTATCCTGAATTTTCGGTTTTTTCTGTTAGTTGGTAAATCATATTTATTTTTTCCCCTTTCTTTATTTAGTTACATCAAGTATTGTTCATTGAAACTAGTGTATTAAGTAAACATAACGTTACTGAGGCTATTGAACTGCTGACAAAGTAAGTGATATGCTCAAACAACTATTAAAAATCATGATTTTATTTTGTAGAAATAGCGTTTCTTTTTGGCATAATAATATTATATTGATTTATGAGGTGTTTAATGATGAGAATATTATTACTGAACCAAAGAGATACTAAATAACCAACCGAAATTGAATCCATTGGTTTGTCTTTTTTGAACCAAATGAGAACCAGTCAGACAACTTCATCTCTCAGCATAACAACTGAGCATTGAAAGTGAGATGCAGTGTGCTGCAAGCATCTGAGCAGTTATGAACTGAAGGTTAATTAATAACTATTCAGTTGTTTCACCGATGAGTTAAGTTGCCGATCCCAGCTACCAACCGTTTCTTCAAATTACATTCGTGACAATCAACCATTAAATGATCACAGAATACTCATGCAGTAAGTAGATCACCGAAAAGAGATCATACGCCATGTAAATAAAGTGTCTGTGATGACTTCTTAACCTGACAGATAGACCTCTGACGTCCAGATTACCACATTTCTGCTTCTTACCTCTATGCAAAAACGAAGAGTTGATGGAGCATAAAAGGATGGAAGTGTGTTTTCACCTTCTTCTCTGGTCACCACCATCTTGCATCACCAGTCTTCCACTTCGGCTACCTTTCTCATCTCATAATACTTTTGAATAACTGAGTGATAATTGTTTCATGTTCTCCAAAGTTTCTCCTTGGACATTTCGTCACCAGGTTAGGAAACTTCAACATTCACTTCTCAATGAAGTAAAAAGCCTTGGATGTTGGAAAACACCAAACATTTATCATCTTCATCCTGAGCTAAAAATCTTCTTGACCTGCTAAAAGTAGTATACATTAGCAGCGCAAGTACACCATCAGTAAAGTTTCACATCTATAGCACACAGATTACTGATTTGTTAACCACTATGGAACAGATCATCTTCGCATACTTCGAAGTGTATACAAAATTCATACAGAAGTGACTGCAATGTTCAGTTACTGTTTCGAAGAAAGAGTAGTTCATCTATTGTCTATCAATAAAATACTTGGCTATTTACTGGATGACATGAATGCTTCAATTTTCTGAACCAGATTTCCCAGGACATCAATGAAATTTGAATATTCGCGTTTAGCCATAAAATAAAAAAGGCTTCAGTGAACAAATTTGTTTTCGGCCATATCGTTTTAAGAAGCAGTAAAATGGTATTTAACTGAATAATTAGGGTGTATATTTACTCATTAATCATGTCAACATTTGTCAATTGGTAGTTCAAAACGTAAAAGATAAGAACAGTTGGTTGGGGTGATGAGTTTGGAAATGACTTAGGAATTGCGTGATCTGCGTTGATGAGTAGTTCTTACATTGCCTTCTGTTGGAAACAACATCCTAGTCAAAATCACAGGATGTGATCACCAACTATGGAAATATACTAATGAACAACAGGAGCAGTAAGGAACCACTCATTCTATCCAGGTAAGAGTGATTTGAGCACCAGATGGCCGATTCGCTCCTTTCTGGCTGGGCCAGTTTATCAGCAGTGTACTGGAACAGCTGTCTCTCATTGAGTGATCTTTTTCCTACTAAGATTCTAAAGCGCAACTATTTGCTTCAAACACCAGAAAATTATTCAATTGACCATTAAATCGCGATGGCCGCTTATTCTGTAATAGCTATCCTTCTTATGTTAATGCTTCCAATTTCCCATCGTTGTGTCTAAGTGGAAACAATATCACTCACTGGAAGGCAGGAGGGGCAGTTGACGAGTCCCAAATAGGACGAAGCGTGAGTCCTGGATTATAACGTCAACCATTACCTATCATTACCATCGTACCGAAATTACAATCAATATTCATTCAGGGGACCGTATACTAACGGTGACCGATCAATTCGGTCCAACCGACTACAATAAGTGATGTAATCCCTGATACAGGAAAACATTTTTCAAACTGGTCCCATACTACTGAAATACTGAACAGTAGGTATACGCTGTTTCCATTAAACGTTTGTGGTGAACACATAAGTTATTCATTCAGTTGACTCCACCTCAGACAAGTAGGAAAAATATAAAGAAATATACAGTAATATTTGAATAGCGACCTTTTTGAAAACAATGACTCTTTGTTAGGCTTCTTACATGTTCTCTGAGATCTGGTCATGCCTAAAATGCATCGTAGAAGGAATAAATTAAACGGCAAAATGTAACAACAGGAATTGCAGCAAAAAAACCGTAAGTGACTGTATTGATCGTGAAAATGAAAAAGTTCAGAGATTCAATGCTTTCCTCAACTTATTAGTACACCTGTTTACTACAAAACCTTACTGAATAGTACCGACCTCAGGAAACAAAAGATATAACTGAAAACGAAACTTTTACTCAACAAATGCTCCAGACTAGTTGAAAAAACTGTAAGGACACGACTTGAGTAAACTATGCATCATTTTACAGTGCTGGAAATATAAAAATTTGAAATTTAATTCACTGAAAGTTGGGCATCCAGTTGCAATATTGAAAACTTCTGTGAGAGATGCATATTGTATAAATGAGACCAAGTTGAAATGAACCTCTTTAGCCATTAATGTCATGTATACAATGAACTAAAACTCAAAAAAGAAAAAACTGAATTCATCTTAGAATAAATCTATCAACTTTACTGAATACCTTGACAGGAATAATGCCAAGTAGTTGTGAGTGAGAATGAAGGAGTACACTTCAAAAAGGTAGAGGAAGCTAACCATGATATTCTCTCCCCTAAATATCCTCATCAACACAACGCACGATTGTACTTTACGAACTCAAGTGTACACGAAATCCCCTCACACACACACTGATCATATATTGAACTAAAACAGCGATTATCTCACAACCCATAAGAAATGTTGTGTATAAACACGATTTCAAAGAGCCAAAACACATTGCACTAAGGAAGGTGAAAGAAAGATACCGTAGAAAGTGTTTAGAGCCAATGATCATGCACTCAGGTCTATCAGATTTTGTTTAATGACAGAGGAGAAGATAGAGGAATAACTTCACATCAATAGGCGCGTTACTCTACCTTACATCAAAGAGGTCCCATAAATTGTCAGGCGACTACATAGTCCGTTGGGGATTGGAGTAGCCAACGCTCCAACAGAATCACCACAGAACGTGTTGTGCAAGCCAACAGATAGATTTCAAAGGTAGACAGAACAACTGTAATAAAAAAATCAGTTGCAAATGTTGTTCGCAACACATCTTTAGAAAACTGAAGCAAACGAACGGTATGAGTTTTAGGATGAAGTTCAACTCCACCTTATGTTCCTAATAGCTTCATTCATTAACCATGTGGAAAGTAAATGACATTTTAGCATAGAGATGTATGCTTCACAGTAGCCAACTAAGAAGCTGGCCGAAAGGAAATAGCCTATAAAACTCTTTACTTGATAATGATATAGGTAATTTGCGCTTGTCTCCAGGATTTAGAATATTCACAGCCCCTTGAACATGGACAAACACCGTCGAACAGTGACAGTTGAATTTAGATTTTACAACTCTGTTCAAAGGTGTAGACTGTGAGGCAGAGCCACTGTCCATCATTACTTTTTATAGGCATTGAATCTATTTCCTGAGAGCTATTTACGCATTTTCACGGAATGTTGTTACACATTTGTTCGATATTCCATCGCAAGGGTGACATTCAGTGGAGAGATCGTAGCAATAAATAAACTATTAAGGTTATTTTATAATGGCGGGAAATGAAGAAAAGATGATGTTCGTTAATCGGTGATGTGTTCTAATATCCCTATAATGACAGATATCGTGATGAGTAAGCTACAGCCAACTGGTTAACACTGACAAATCATTTAATAAAATGACTGAAGTTGTAACTAGGTCTCCACTACATCAGAAGATTTGAAATCATACCGTCTGAATAGTGATCTAAGTATCTTCTGATAAGGGTTAAGAGGCACAACTATGTATCACCTTCGAATTTCAACCTAATCACCAAGGCCTCTAAGTGTTTTTCCTGTGAATGATTGAAATGCAAGTGCTATAGGTTTGAATTCTATACAAAACTGGGTTGATATTATCGTCAAGCGGCTCAATTAAATGGGATATCCCTCTGTAGAAAAAACGACTTTAAAGGCCACCCTAGCAATGATTAAAATGAGCAATTAGGTTTCTTCCTTTTCGTCTATAAAAGCAGATTTCCATAAAATAGAGAAGTCTAATCACTTACTCCATTTGTTGCTAGCATGGCCTTTAAAATCATCCCTGTAGAAACCTATAGACTATTGACATATATTCATATTTAAGGTGGTATTCATCACAGACTAACATCAATCGAAGAACCAGTGGGAACCTAAGAGTACTGAACAGCTGTTTCATCCTACTACTCAGATGTACGTATCCATAACTCCAACAGGCATCAAAATCAGGACCTTCTGTTCTGTAGGTGAATGAGCCAACCATTAAGCCACTGGATCGGAGTTCGATGGTACACAGTTCCCTGCTTCTGTCAGTTTGCGAAATAGCGCGACCATCCATGAAGTTCTTCAGTTGACATCCGCTTCACTTCCGACTGAATAACCCCACATATTAAGAACAAGATATTCAGCGAAGAGACTCTTTTCAACGAATTTATTTTCAAGCTGTACAATCGTATATATATGGTATTTGGAAAAAAAATTATATCCTGTGAGGAAAACTAAACACTAAACCCCACATATCACAACTTTTCCTTACAACTTTGGGATATCTATCTCGAAGCATGGCAATAATGAGCACTATACAGCAATTTACTTTGATATTTATGTAAATTTTACTTATTTCAAGGTAGTATTCATCCCGGAGTGACATAACTTGAAGGACCATTCACAGAAGTAGGAAACTGTGGACCAAAGAACTCCGACCCATTGGTTGACTGGTTAACGTATTCGCCACGAACGAGACCTGAAGGTAGCGATTTCAATGCCTAGTGGGCCTTGTTGAACAGTCCCATACTAGGCCGAAACAGATATCAATCAATAACGAATACAACTGTGCATTTTTATATTTGATGTAGACATTCTTTGCAAGCTAGATGTGCTGTGTACCTAGCCACCAAGCCAGACACAGCGTTTGCTGTCAGATTGTTGAGGGGGGGGAGGCAACTAGCAGTAAGGTTTCTTATTGTTTACTAGCTGATTTCAGTTGATTGAACTCGGCCAGTACTCAAGTCTGACAAATGATTTGCTTACTTCCCTTCTACAGGAAGTTAGTCTCAATTAGAATAATTTATTGGTAACGCCTTTAACTGTGTCATGAAATGGATCACGCTGAAATCATCACCTCAGCGTCGCTCGAATGTATGATGGTGATTTCGAATAAGCCTGTAACTTATGTCAGCCATTTCTCTTTCAACCAGTTATCCACATAAGTCAGGCTAGTTTTGCATTTCTCACCAACGTTGTTTTCATTTTATTTGTTTTTTTTTCATTGATTTATTACTACAGAGAAATGAAGTTAACTGAAGATAACCAAGTCGCAGTTGTCACACTCACTTCTTCCCTGAATAGAATGACCACTGACAGTAAACAAGGAGCAAACAAAACAACAGGCTGTTGTCGATAATATACAAATTTGATCACAGTCACACACACAATGTACATTTAATTATTTGTATATTTCAAGAAAACATTATACACTACATTCCGATTTATATCAACCACACAAAGGAATGTGCTAATTGGGAAAGAGTAGGATGTTGATAATTTCCACTACATCGAACTGATTCACCTAGATAGGTGTTATCTCCTGGTTTCTTCATCATTCTGTACGTGCCTGTCTCTCTATCCATCTACCTGTCTATCTATCAATCACTCATTTGATCGTTTCTTTGTTTCCTTGCTTCGGTCACACACACATACATATACACGTTTTCAAGGCGAAGTATCATCAAAAACAAAATTTGTTTATCCAACAGAAAAACAAAAATTAAATAGCGAAAGTAAATGAAGTCCCATTTTTATATCATTGTTGACTTCCTCATTGCCCTAGTACCTTCCATAATACATCAGTTCATTTATTCCCTGTTTCTATTAGCATTAACTGTATCATTTATCGTCATTTGTATCGAATTATATGTTAGGCATTGTGCAGACACTTCACTTGCATAATCAATAATCCATAAACACAAAACAACACCAACGGTTACACCTACAGTGGGAAATTCATTTGTCCTTTATCTGTGTTTACGTGTCCGTATACCTAACAAGTTATCCTGTTTCTGTTTTAAAACACACATCCCCGGTTTTTATAAACTTTAATATTAAAGTAATATAATTATGTTTCAAGTCCTTTCGTAACATCTTTACTCATGTACATATGATATGCTTATTATGATTATTGTGGGACATGAGGCTTCAGTAGCACGTCTCCATTCCACTCTCTTCTCTCCAGTCTTCCCGACCTGGCTCCAAGACTGCCCACAACCTTTCATTTCTTCCTCATACCATTTCCTCCACGTCACCCTCCAACCTCAAACTCGTCGTCTCTCATTTTGGTTCCACTCGACGACCTGGTCTGGTTTGGCGCGTGATGTCCCTAAACCGTCTTCTCAGTGTATGCCCAGTCCATCTCCACTTTCTTTTGCATATTTGTTGGTCGAAAGGTTGTTGGTTGGTTCGCTACCAGCCAGTCAGTCAGTCAGTCAGTCAGTCAGTCAGTCAGTCAGTCAGTCAGTCAGTCAGTCAGTCAGTCAGTCAGTCAGTCAGTCAGTCAGTCAGTCAGTCAGTCAGTCAGTCAGTCAGTCAGTCAGAGTTCCTCCTTGCTTATTCTTATTAGTCTGGCCATCTGATCTGATCTTTAGTATTGAGTGAGTGTAGGCAGCAGCTGTTGATGATGTATGTCTTTAGTTTGTTGGAAGTACTTTTCGTAACGCTCCAAGTCTCTCAACTACCACATAGAAGCACTGACTTGACCAACTAAGTGTTGAAAATCCGAATCTCGTTCTCGCTTTATGCTCAGTGGAGTGCTGTAGACCTACACACTGATTTCAGATTGATGAATGAAGACGTCTTGCTGTGTTTCCGACTCTGGCTCGCTTTGACGTCCTCATCTGTGCCACCTGTGGTTGAAACAGTGCTGCCTAGGCAGATGGGTAGGTGAAAGAGACTACTTCCTTTAGGTTTCTCCCGTCGACGCTGATGGGTGCATGTTGGCTGGTTGGTTGGTTGGCTGCTTAGTTGTCTGTTTGTTTGTTTGTTTGGTTGGTTGGTTGGTCGGTCGGTTGGTTGGTTGGTCGGTTGGGTAGTTGGTTGGTTGGTTGGTAGTTTGGTTGGTTGGCTGATTGGTTGTTTGGTTGGTTGGTTAGTTGGTTGGTTAGTCGGTCCGTCGGATGGTTGTTTGGTTGGTTGATTGGTTGGTTGGATGGTCGGTTGGTTGTTTGGTTGGTTGTTTGTTTGGTTGGTTGTATGGTTGGTTGGTTGGTTAGTTGTTTGGTTGTTTGTTCGGTCGGTTGGCTGGTCGGTTGGGTAGTTGGTTGGTTGGTTGGTAGTTTGGTTGGTTGGCTGGTTGGTTGTTTGGTTGTTTGGTTGGTTGGTTAGTTGGTTCGTTAGTCGGTCCGTCGGTTGGTTGGTTGTTTGTTTGTTTGGTTGGTTAGTTGCTTGGTTGGTTGATTGGTTGGTTGGTTGGTTGGTTGGTTGGTCGGTTGGTTGTTTGGTTGGTTGGTTGGTTGGTTAGTTGTTTGGTTGTTTGTTTGGTTGCATGGTTGGTTGGTTGGTCAGTTGTTTGGTTGTTTGTTCGGTCGGTTGGCTGGTTGGTTGGTTAGTTGTTTGGTTGGTTGGTCCGTCGGTAGGTTGGTTGGTTGTTCGGTTGTTTGGTTGGTTGTTTGGTTGGTTGGTTAGTTGGTTGGTTAGTCGGTCCGTCGGTTGGTCGGTTGTTTGTTTGTTTGGTTGGTTGTTTCGCTGGTTGGTTGGTTGGTCCGTCGGTTGGTTGGTTGGTCGGTTGGGTAGTTGGTTGTTTGGTTGGTTGATTGGTTGTTCGGTTGGTTGGTTAGTTGTTTGGTTGGTTGCATGGTTGGTTGGTTGGTTAGTTGTTTGGTTGCTTGTTCGGTCGGTTGGCTGGTCGGTTGGTCCAACGGTAGGTTGGTTGGTTGTTCGGTTGGTTGGTTGGTTGGTTGGTTGTTTGCTTAGTTGGTTGTTGGGTTGGTTGTTTGCTTAGTTGCTTGGTTGGTTGGCTGGTTGTTTGTTTGGTTGGTTGGTTGGTTAGTCGGTCCGTCAGTTGGTTGTTTGGTTGGTTGGTTGGTCGGTCGTTTGGATGGTTGGTTGTTTGTTGTTTGTTAGGTTGTTCGGTTGGTTGGTCGTTCGGTTGGTTGGTTGGTTGGTTGGGTAGTTGGTTGTTTGGTTGGTTGTTTGGTTGGTTGCTTGTTTGTTTGTTTGGTTGTATGGTTGGTTGGTTGGTTGGTTAGTTGTTTGGTTGTTTGTTCGGTCGGTTGGCTGGTCGGTTGGTTATTTGGTTGGTTGGTTGGTTGTTTGCTTAGTTGCTTGGTTGGTTGGTTAGTTGGTTGGTTCTTTGGTTGTTTGATTGGTTGGTTCTTTGGTCAGTCGTTTGGCTGGTTGGTTGGTTGTTTGTTTGGTTGGTTGGTTGTTTGGTTGGTTGGTTGGTTGTTTGGTTGGTTGGTTGTTCTGTTGGTTAGTTGTTTGGTTGGTTGGCGGGTCGTTTGGCTGGTTGGTTGTTTGGTTGTTTGTTTTGTCGTTCGGCTGGTTGGTTGGTTGGTTGGGTATTTGGTTGTTTGGTTGGTTGGTTGATTGGTTGGTTGGTTGGTGGGCCGTGTGGCTGGTTGGTTGGTTGTTTGTTTGTTTGGTTGGTTGTTTGGTTGTTTGTTTTGTCGTCGGCTGGTTGGTTGGTTGGTTGGGTAGTTGGTTGTTTGGTTGGTTAGTGTTTGGTTGGTTGTATTGTTGGTCGGTTGGTTAGTTGTTTGGTTGGTTGGTCGGTCGTTTGGTTGGTTGTTGTTGGTTGGTTGGTTGTTGTTGGTTGCTGTTGGTTGGTTGGTTAGTTGTTGGTTGTCGGTCGGTTGGTTGGTTGGTTAGTTGTTTGGTTGTTTGTTCGGTCGGTTGGCTGGTCGGTCGTTTGGTTGTTTGGTCGGTCGGTTGTCTGGTCGGTCGGTTGGTTGGTTGATTGGTTGGTTGTTTGTTTGTTGGTTTGTTGTTTGGTTGGTTGGTTGTTTTGTTGGTTGGTTGGTTGATTGGTTGGTCGGTCGGTTGGCTGGTTGTTTGGTTGGTCGGTCGTTTGGCTGGTTGGTTGGTTGGTTGGTTGTTTGGTTGGTGGGTTGTTTGTTTGTTTTGTTTGTTTGTTTGGTTGTTTGTTTGGTTGATTGGTTGTTTGCTTTGTTGGTTGCTCTGTTGGTTGGTTGTTTGTTTGTTTGTTTGATGGGTTGGTTGGTTGGTTGGTTGTTTGTTTGTTTGGTTGGTTGTTCGGTTGGTTGGTTGTTTGTTTGTTTGGTTGGTTGGTTGTTTGCTTATTTGGTTGTTTGGTTGGTTGTTTGCTTAGTTGGTTTGTTGGTTGGTTGATTGATTGGTTGTTTGTTTGTTTGGCTGGTTGTTTGGTTGGTTGGTTTGTTGGCTGGTTGTTTGGTTGTTTTGTCGGTCGGTCGTTTGGCTGGTCGGTTGGTTGGTTGGTTTGTTGTTTGCTGAGTTGGTTGGTTGGTTGGTTGTTTCGTTAGTTCCTTGGTTGTTTTGTTGGTTGTTTGTTTGTTGGTTTGTTGTTTGGTTGTTTGGTTGGTTTGTTGGTTGGTTGGTTGATTGATTGGTCGGTCGGTTGGCTGGTTGTTTGGTTGGTCGGTCGTTTGGCTGGTTGGTTGGTTGGTTGGTTGTTTGGTTGGTTGTTCGGTTGGTTGGTTGGTTGTTTGGTTGGTTGGTTGTTTGTTTGGTTTGTCGGTCGGTTGGCTGGTCGGTCGGTTGGTTGGTTAATTGGTTGGTTGTTTTGTCGTAGGGTTGGTTGGTTGGTTGTTTGGTTGGTTGATTGGTTGGTTGATTGGTTGGTTGGTTGTTTGTTTGTTTGTTTGGTTGGTTTTTTGGTTGGTTTTTTTGTCGGTTGGTTGCTTGGTTGGTTGGTTGGTTGTTTGGTCGTTTGTTTGTTTGGTTGTTTTGTTGGTGTTTGTTTGGTTGTTTGGTCGGTCGGTTGGCTGGTTGGTTGTTTGGTTGTTTGGTTGTTTGTATAGTTGGTTTGTTTTTTGATTGTTTGTTTGTTTGGTCGTTCGGTTCTCTGGTCGGTTGGTTGGTTGTTTGTTTGGTTGTTTGTTTGTTTGGTCGGTCGGTTGGCTGGTCGGTCGTTTGGTTGTTTGGTCGGTCGGTTGTCTGGTCGGTCGGTTGGTTGGTTGATTGGTTGGTTGTTTGTTTGTTGGTTTGTTGTTTGGTTGGTTGGTTGTTTTGTTGGTTGGTTGGTTGATTGGTTGGTCGGTCGGTTGGCTGGTTGTTTGGTTGGTCGGTCGTTTGGCTGGTTGGTCGGTTGGCTGGTTGTTTGGTTGGTCGGTCGTTTGGCTGGTTGGTTGGTTGGTTGGTTGTTTGGTTGGTTGTTCGGTTGGTTGGTTGGTTGTTTGGTTGGTTGGTTGGTTGGTTGTTTGTTTGGTTTGTCGGTCGGTTGGCTGGTCGGTCGGTTGGTTGGTTAATTGGTTGGTTGTTTTGTCGTAGGGTTGGTTGGTTGGTTGTTTGGTTGGTTGATTGGTTGGTTGATTGGTTGGTTGGTTGTTTGTTTGTTTGTTTGGTTGGTTTTTTGGTTGGTTTTTTTGTCGGTTGGTTGCTTGGTTGGTTGGTTGGTTGTTTGGTCGTTTGTTTGTTTGGTTGTTTTGTTGGTTGTTTGTTTGGTTGTTTGGTCGGTCGGTTGGCTGGTTGGTTGTTTGGTTGTTTGGTTGTTTGTATAGTTGGTTTGTTTTTTGATTGTTTGTTTGTTTGGTCGTTCGGTTCTCTGGTCGGTTGGTTGGTTGTTTGTTTGGTTGTTTGTTTGTTTGGTCGGTCGGTTGGCTGGTCGGTCGTTTGGTTGTTTGGTCGGTCGGTTGTCTGGTCGGTCGGTTGGTTGGTTGATTGGTTGGTTGTTTGTTTGTTGGTTTGTTGTTTGGTTGGTTGGTTGTTTTGTTGGTTGGTTGGTTGATTGGTTGGTCGGTCGGTTGGCTGGTTGTTTGGTTGGTCGGTCGTTTGGCTGGTTGGTTGGTTGGTTGGTTGTTTGGTTGGTGGGTTGTTTGTTTGTTTGTTTGTTTGGTTGTTTGTTTGGTTGATTGGTTGTTTGCTTTGTTGGTTGCTCTGTTGGTTGGTTGTTTGGTTGTTTGTTTGGTCAGTCGGCTGGCTGATCGGTCGGTTGGTTGTTTGTTT